GTTTTAAAGGGATGCCAGAAAACAATATTTATATTCGTCAAAAACTGTATAATAACTCCAAAATATAGACGGCAGAGACAGCTTTGTTTTTACGGAGCTCCGAATAAATAGGGGATTGTGTGTCGGTCTGCCGGTTACACTCAAACTGTGATTTCTGAATGAGATTGTTTCTTTTATTGTCCTTTTTTCTGTAGAGGAAGTAAATAAACCGTAACTAGGGATTTATTTGTTGTTTGAGGTGCAATATGTGACTCAGCAGCTTTAAGAAATTAAGAAACTATTACTTTCCGCTTCACTCTAATGCATTATTTGCACCGCAAAGTGGCTGGGACCGTAAGTTTTGTCTGGAAGTGACCTGAGCGCCCTCATACTATATTTTTATAGAAAAAACCCTGAACACCATATTGGTATCTTATCATCATATTGGTATTGCACCAATACGGTAATTCCTATGAAAGATAATGTCAAAAGATAAGGGAAATAACACCATTTCATTCGTGATTCTCTCTTAGCTCATCATGCATTTATCATGTACTGATTGATGCTAAGTCAATGTATTGACAAAAAATGGTCAACACAATTGTTCAAAGCACAAGCAAATGTCCATGACCAATACTCCAAAACCAAACGATATTCAATGCTACAAAACAGAAAAGCAGCAAATCATTGCATATGAAAATCTGAAACCAGAGAAAGTGTCCATTTCCATTAAATGGCATGAATTGCTGTGCCAAAGCCAAATGCAGGGCTGTATTTATCCATGCATTTGCTCCGAACAACCAATGTTGTTGTTACCAGAAGCTCCTGAGGATGGGTTCTGATTTAGACTGGCCTGACACACACTTTTACTTAATCAAATATACATTTTGATGAACTTTTCAACTGTTAAGTTGTTTTTTTTTTAAATTAATTTGTGTTCATACCTGTCCTCCATTTTGGACAAGCTGCAGATGTGAAAGCCACTTGTGGCTGACAGTCTCTAACATGATGAAAGCTGTCTCAACCCTTCACATACCAAACTCATACTCCTGCAAGGAGGAAGAAAAGGAGCAGAAGGCAAAAGCATAGTAGGTTTTCACGAGGATTCCTCGGCCGCAGCTAGGCCCTGGATATATGTGTCTGATTAATTGCTTTTCAAATAAATCACAGGTACTAGTCTGGGGCATCGCTCTCTTTTTTTGAGGTGTGTGAGAAAACTAGACAAGGGAAAGGGTGCACAATGAAGGAGAGGAACAAGGTGACAGTTATTCGTTAGTCATTGAGTTGGTAATAAAGTTCACTCATGACAGCCGGGCCCCTGCTATCTCAATGTGTGTGTAGAGTCTGTGTGGCCTGAAAAGAATGAGTGATGCTGTGTCACAGAGGGGGCTGGGGAGTGATAATAGATCTGGAGTATTGTGCAACTGCATGTCAAGCTCGGTGGAGTTATGTGTTTATTTACTTGTGATGATTGAGGTTGTGTAATGTTTATCCTGGAGCGACTCATTATTCAAATGAGGTTGTGTAATTTCCCCCTCTGCTACGTGAGGGTTTAGTTCATTGTGAAACTTGCACAGTAGAAAATCGTCAACCTCCGCATGTTAAAGAGGCCCTATTGTGCGTTTTGGGTTTCCCCTCTCCTGTAGTGAGTTATATAGGTTTTTGTGCATGTTAATAGTCTGCAAAGGCTTACATCCCAAAGTTGTCTCCCACACACATACACCCCCCCCCCTTGCCTGAATTGCCACCATTGGACTCCTTTGTTTGCTTCCATAACATATTGACCTCACTACGTAACACTCGTACTTCAACACATTGTATGTGATGGTCTAGGCGCAGGACATCACTAAGCTGTTGATCAATTCAATCACAACAGAGCCTGCCAGCTAACCAATCAGAGCTGACTGGACTCTGGTTTCAGACAGACGGTGAAAAGAGGTGCTGCAGCACAGGCAGTAAGAGAAAAATAAAGCCCTTTTTGAACATTAAAGCATTTAAACATGTCACAGTAGAGACACAAAATACCAATATCTAACCTGAAAATGAGCATTATAGGGCCCCTTTATCGCACTACAAACGATAGATTTAAATGTATGTCTCTCATCTCCATTTTGTTTTATGCCTACTTTTCCCATGTCACCCTTCTATCTATTTAGCTCTTCTCCCCCTTTTTTTCCAAGCCCCCCCTTTTCATCCAAAGCTTCCAACATTGGCGGGCCCCTCCATACTGACACTCAGACTGCTCCTATCAGTTCCATCCAGCAAACGTCCCGTTACCCATCTGCACCTAATTTTCTCTTGTCCCTCCCCGTCTCCGTCCCATCTCCCTCTCATTTATCACACCTATGACGGCAGCCAAGTCTACCCGCCAAAGTTTATACATGTTTCCCTCTTTCTCCACTTGTTTTTTTTTCATCCCCCATCTCGCTTTCCGCCTCGCTTAACGAGCCTTTCAAAGATTGTCAGTCATCGGCGTCACCTCGTATCCGTCCGAACATGCGAGTGCAGAGAGGAGGGAACGATGGAGGGATGGTGACGGATTGGTTTATGGGGGAGGCTTTTGGCTTTTCGAAACAAGGGGAAGATAGAAGGATCAAAAGAATATGTTTTTTATCTGGAAAGACAACATCCTGATCATTACCTGAAAAAAACACATCGCGTAACTTTCAGCCCATTCACGTGCAGTCCCTATCACTTCTTGGAACATAGATTTTTAGGAAAAGGCCATTTTAATCCCAGCAGTCTTCTCTCTCAACAATGTAACTTTTCAGGAACTATTACGGCTTCTTCTGTTGCTATAAGTAACTGTGAGATATTATGATGGTTATTGTGAGCAGGCTGACACAAAGGTAGAAAACATTCGGCTGAAGAAGAGCCAAAGGGGTAGCTGTGAATTACAGGGCCTTTCAAGCCAACCTGGGAAAGAAAGAAAATAAGAGGGAAGATAAAGACAGACAGTGGTGAGCTGAGTCTACACTTTCAGGCCAATAAAGAAAAGAAAGCTGACAGATTTTTCTTTCTTCTTTTCTCTGTCCACTGTCCATACCACTAATAGCAGTGTCCTCTCATACTCTTCATCCTTTCTTCTTTCCAGGGGAAGAATTGAGGAATTGTCCCTGTGCCATGACTAGACTGTGGGTGTTTCTCAATCTCGAGTAAAGCTGCTCCAGAGCCACTATTTCAAGCATACTACGTAATTGAGTGCCGCAAAAGTACTGTTCCAATCTCCAGCATACTTGGAATTCTACCGAGCCCGGCGTACTTCGTTTGGAGAAATGTCGAGGCTGCACATGTGTAGACTCCGAGGTCTTAAAATCCCCACAATGCTTTGCACACGGACCAATTTCCCCAAATCTGTGGCGGAAAATGTAAGGCGGGGCCTCTCACATGACACACACTTGCTAGCCTGTTCCACTCTTCGTTTTCCGAATGCTAGGAAGTATTCTTGCCTTGCTTCTGAAGCAAGACGCTCGGAAGACATGTGCTACCAAGCAAGCGTACTCGAGATTGAGAAACACCCCATGTCTCTTGTGTTGGTTAGAAATATATCTTTCTGTTGAAGGACTGTTTATACCATTTTAGACTGTAAATGCAAAAAAGAGGCCTTCAGAAATCAGGAATCCACCCAAAGAGTGGGCCATTGCATGTTTGTATTCATCTTCTACATGCCTTTCTCTTTACGTTCTTGCTACTCTGTTTCCTGCTCTGCCTCTCCCATCCCTATATGCTACCGGTGTAGGGTTGAAGTGCAATGTCAGGGTGCAAACCCATAGCGATAAGTATGTGTGTCACTATGTCTCTGCCGCTCAGCAGGTGTGTTCTGCATATATAGGTGTGTCCCTCTGCTGTTGAAGGAGTCTATAGAGGTGAGGCAGAGTGTGAGAGTGTCAGGCTGATTGCGCTGACAGTTGCAGAAGGCTGTAGGTTGTCGGGACATGGAGAGCATCCGATCAATGTGTGTGTCCATCGCTGCTACAGATGCATAGCATTCCACCACCATCCATCAGCTGAAGCACTTAAAGGGATAGTTTGGATGTTTTGAAGGGGTTTGTATAAGGATCCATAGTGAGTGCATTTCAAATCAGTAGATAGTGGTTGGCACGCCCTAAGTTTTGAGAAATGGACAGCGGTACCAGCACAGAAGGAAAGGAATGTATTGCAGCGCGAAACAGTCGTTTTACATTGCCGTTCTGCAAAAGCATACCAAGAGAGCATACAGAAGATGGTTATATATGATTCAAGGGAGGTCAAAAGAACCAATACTCAAAATGTTGAGACAATAAGGGGCTTGTTTTACTACAGTACCATCATAGGGACGATAGAAAAATATGTTTAGGAAGCCGTTCAACTGATTATTCAGGTGTTATTTTTTCTCTTGATAATTTAGCATTGTAAACAACAAATCTGTGTTGAAAGTGGGAAAGCTAGTTAACATCAGCTATAAGCCGATTGCTTTTAACAGCGGGTGAACGGAGATTAAATACATTTGCATTACGGTGCTCTCTTATTCTATTCAATGAAAATTGATGTTGGGTGAGGGTCAATTTTAAACATTAACATGAAGTTCATTGTGAGCTTTAAAAATGTGTATTTGGCGAAATATAAGCGAAATAAAATCTGTAGTAGAGGGGGAGATAATGACCTTTTAAAAAAAAAAGTGTATGTTGAATTATGTGATAGATTTTTGTGTTTTTGGTATACGCATCTGGTGTAACATTTTTGGTATCTTGACGTTTTGTTATAGCTTTAGCTCTACTTTCAAAAGAGCTGTCTGGCACCTATGTCGATTTTGAATTCTTAGTTCAGCCTTTTTTTAGGTAAAGAAACATTTTGCTGCTCCAGCCCAAAGAAGTTCATTGTTTTGCTTCTGTGCCATTACTCGTGTCTGCTGCTGTCTCCTGTGTACATCATGCAAACCCATTTCAAAACCCATTTCATATTTCTTTAAAGCATGTCAGTGTCTTTTGTTTCACTCTTAATTGCAGTCAGACTGTACTGTACCTCAGGTTTGGCCTTTTGAGTATATCCCCAAAATGATTCTGTTTTTTATTTCTCAGAGCCGCAAAGCAGCCTACAGTAGTTTATTCTCATGGCATCCCATCCTGCATGTCAAAACAGGCAGCATATTTTCCATATAGGCCCACTGACAGATGGGTCGTGGTCAGAGCGCCAGGGATGGTATTTCCTTTTTCGTGCTTATTTTGAGTTCGTAATGACATCCATGTATTTTCTCCTTTTTGTTCTGAGTTTAATCGTCCACCACTCTTTGACCTCAGTTATGTAAACAAAAAAATGTGTTGGAGAGATTTTGGAGTCTTTGTCCTACAGTTGAATGTTTTAAAATTGGATAAATATTATTGTGTGTGTTGAGATGGTACAGCGGGCTGTTGCAGGCGCCTGCTTGTTTACAGAGCTATCTCTGCAGTTTGTTTGGTGGTGCCGTGTTATAGAACACAGGTCTCTGATAATGGAGTCTCTTTCTCTTCCTCCTCCTTTTCTGTTCATTCGACCCCTCACTCATTTTTCTCTCTGCCCCGCAGCTGTTTTTGTTCAGCTTGGTTTACTTTCCCATCCAAAATGTTAAGTCAAATACAGACTTGTACCCATTTCACAAGCACACACTACAATATGCTGGTGTGTTTACATTTGCTGCTCAGTATCGCGGACAACATAACACTGCTGACACCGAGGAGCATGACTCAAACAAAGAACTTAACAGAGCACAGCTTGGACCAGGTCTCAACCCTGGTCCTGACCCTGAGGTCAGTTTACAACTTGTCAAACCTTTAACCCTGAAGGGTCACTAGCGGAGTGCGAAAGTGCTGTTGCCAGGGCTGCAAGAAAGGATACTTTTCAATATATATTTAACTGCCGGTAACTTTTGTGCATTCATATGTCTATACAAATTCAGGGAAAAAAGGTAATAATTAATTCTCACAAACCAAGATGATGTCTTGCTTACAGGGATGAATTTATGAGGGGAAACAAAAAAATGTAAGGTTATCCTGGCGGTTAAACGCAGAATAAGTAGGATTTCCCCCCAAAAAATGAAATATATTATAATATTCTACATAATTCCTTTCTATCATCACACATTATCCACTAGAAGTGTGGGGCAGTGTCCGCATCTGCAGAGACCCTGCCTTCTGTCTTTATTTTCATATTTTTGGGACATTTATGGGTGTCTATCTCACATATCGACCAGGAGACACAGTGTAAGAAAGCATCCAAGAGGAAGCTACGAAAATAGCAGGCTCAGCATCGGAACATATGCAAATATATTTGGGCGAAAAATCAAAAGGACAAAGCTTGTTCCACAATGGGGTTGTGTTTCACCTGCTGACCTGCTGACGTGCCCCGTACCCAACTTTAAATAATGTGTTTACAAACTGCCACTGACAAATCCCAACAAGTCTGCGTGTGAGAAGCTGTTTTAAACAAATGGGGATTTCCAAAATTGTGGATAATAACTGTTGATTTGACAAAAATGATAATACATAGTTTTAGCAGGAGGCTTAACCCTATGTCTCTTTTTTCCCCCCAGGGGCAGTACCGGCCTTCAGACCTCGTGTGCCCAGAAACCTACGCCTGGGTTCCAATAGAGCAGTGCGTAACCATGCTGGAGAACTCCCGCTATGCTCGTTTCAACCAGGATCCTGATGCAGGTACAACAACACAATACTCTACTATTCCTTCTTATTGAATGTTTAAAAAAAAAACTGCATTTTTCTAACATACTGACCTGCCAATGTAAGCTTGGTTTTGGATCCTCCAGTTCTTTGTACACGCTCTTCTGGATGAACCCTTGAACCATGTGTTAACATCTGATCCGGTTTCACTGGGATGGTGTATTGAGAACTTGTGGGCTTGCTCCAAGGCAGCCACTGTTCAGGGGTAGAAGGAGGGCCAGTGGCTCTGATCGCTCAGTCTTTTCTCCACATGATCTTTCAGCATGTTCAGAAAAGGAGCCAAAGGACCTTGTTGCCATGAGTTGAATAGTGATATTAGCAAAAATAAACCGCATGCAGAAGGTAGACTGGCAGACGGCCATCGTCTGGCTGAGAAGTGGAGGCCAGCGAGAGTGTTAAATAGAGTGTAAGTGAGTTCGACAGTTTTGAAAGAAGAGTTTTGAAGAGTTACTGCATACATATGATGCCAAAAAAAGACTGATACATTTTATTTTGTATTTCTAATATCTCTCTCTGCCAACTTTCCAGTGTTGGTTCGGCTTGTTTGTGCTCTTGGCTGTTTTTAGGAAAATATGCAGTAAAATTCCTGCAGCTCTCACATAAACACACATTTAATTATTTGCGTCTAATTGCTCTGCATGCTGAGCAGATATGCGTACACCTTATGTGACAGTCTAATGGGTATGACACTGCTCAACTTCAGAATAAAAAAATAAAATATGGTTTTATTTGACCAATGCTGTGTTATGGGAATTATTTGAGCATGGGTTCAAGCATTTAGACTTATATAGTAGTTCATCTCACGAGTATCCTGGACAAAATAATTAGGATTCATGATATTATCCTAATAATCATCACAATATTGATGAGCTTTCAAAATGGCAGAAAAACATTACATTTTGTTAAGGAACTAATCTTTTTTTTCCCACCACAGATAGGGCAGTTCTTACCTCAATACTTTTCAATCCACTCAATCAATCTTAAACAAGATAGTTATCAATCATAAGATCCCCCCGCATAAATAAAAGATAAATATAAAAAAGCCAGATTGTTATTTCTCACTAATACCTACAAATTAACTGTTAATATTTCCCGTGCCTGAGTGCATGGAGCGTACAGGGGCTTGTCAGCTCCTGCTTACTCTTCCTTATTCATCTAATGTAGACACTGATGGGTAGGAATAAGTAATAGAAAAATAAGAGAAGATAAGAATACGATTTATCAGGAAGTCTTGGATTGATAGATGAAGGATATGAGGGAGTAATATAAGCATGGATGGAGAGTGGAGAGACGTGATACAAATAGAAAAAGAAAGGGAGGAAGGCTGGTACTTGTATGCTGGCACTAGAAGAGAGAGAAGTAGAATAAAATAAGAGACAGACTGACAGGGGAAACGGCTTAGGAGAGTGTTGTAATGAGGTCATACTTGGCCTTGACGCCATGCAGAAAGGTAAAAATGATGAACTTCAAAGAAAACTGGCACGGATGCCCTTTTCCTCTGATCTGTTTTTTTTTTTTACGGAACAGAAGTCTTAAGGCCAGCTTTTCTTGTTTACTCAAGTGATGGTAAAGGCTCCACAGGAGAGAAAAGGCCACTCTAAGGCTGGTCATTTTCAATCTAGGCTGTGGTTGGTCGACCCTTTCTTGTCGATTGTACCACTGATCCCTGCACAAATTACTGAGGACAAGGTTAACCTTTTTTAACCGTGGCCAGAGAGTGTTTGTGTTTCTTGCGGTGCCTCCATTCCTGCGTGGACTGTTGATCTTGGACGGGTCTGGACATTATTTCAGGCCTAGCTGTCCAAGCATGGTGTCATTACATTTCAGTGCTGGCTGTCTGGACGGCTAGCTCTCAGGCCTGCTGCCAAAGCTGTGTGGTGCCAGACTGTAGTGGCTGCATGGAGGCTTGTGTCTCCCCCAGAAAGACAGTCAAAGTCAGTCAGTCAGTCAGAATGCAGACTCAGGTTAGCAGCATTGCAGATTGATGGCTTGTCTTTATTGGCATTATATTAATGTGTGGTCTAAAGAAAGACACGTTGCAAATCCTGGGTAATTCCAGACTGGATAAACTTTTAGGGAGTAACTTAAAAGATACAACTTTTTAGATGTTTTGTATTCTGGCCAGTTCTCTATGCTTTCAAGATATCTACTCTAATCTTTACTCTGTTTCTGTTCTGTCATTACACATTTAACAGAATATATTATTTATACCAATCACTGGCTGGTTGTCAAGGAAATCTGCATCAATAATGCTAAAAGTTAAAAGAAAAAGTTTTGGGCATATAAAATGTATATGTCACGGTGAGTTATATGTAAAAAAAAAAAGGCTAGGTGTTCAAAAGGAATAATTCTCATTCAAATCTGGTAGTTGTTTTATAATGCATGTTATTGCGCATGTATTCATGTCCATATACAGGGTGATAAAACTGATACCCCTTTTTTAAAGTGAAAAAAAACAAAACCTGCCTGAACGACTTGATTTGACTCATTGTACACTTCCATAACATTATGATGTCATTGTGTAACACTCGCGCTTCTGTTGGCTGGTGCTCAAACACTCTGGTTTCAGACAGAGGGGGAAAAGTTCACAGGCAGTATGAGAAAGATAAAGATGTTTTTGAAAATTAAAGCAAGAAACATGTCACAGAAGAAGCACAAAATACAAATATGAACCTGAAAATGGGCATAATAGGGCCCCTTTAAGAAATAACAGTTTCACAAACATTTTAATTAAAGTCACAATTTATTCCAACTAATGCTTGTTATGAGGCCATGCCATGAACTCCAGGCCTCATGACGAGGGGGGGAGCTGGGTGTGTTTTCTGATGTAAGTGTGACCGGGTTCCAAAGCTGTCTTAATGAGGTGCGTAAAGACAGTTAATCTAAAGTTTACACAACTCTGTCCGAGCTGCAGGCTAACATTGATTACACGCTGAGGGCCCCGGGGCCTCATTTAGGCTCTAACGAATGTACATACAGTATGTACACACACACACATAGACACACTCACATCCTACACACCACATATGTGTTATCTCTCACACACTCATAATCTAGTGTTTGCTTGGCGGAGGAAGAAGTAGGGGCATTGCCCTAGGAGCAGGATAAACACATGCAGAATGTGTGACACAAGTAGTCCTCCCCTGGACCTTGAGTATGTCCAGCAGGCGCCAAACTACTGTACACACACACACACACACACACACACACACACACACACACACACACACACACAATGAAACATACACACACAATATTTTGTTGCATAAAGATAAACATTTGAAATGAGAATATTCTTTAAAACTCTTTCTCTTTCATGTCTAAACGAATACACAGTGACACGTTCACCTCTAATAAAGCTGATTGCCTCTGAGTTGTACAGTATCTGTGCTTCCAGCCATGAAAAGTGAAGCCAAAACATTAGGTGGGGGAGATGATGATAGCCCGACAGCACCCACTCATTACCTGAGAGAGTTCCAATTTCCCCTTTGGATAAGAGCTACAATGATTACTTGACATAATAATAATCGTCAACTTACCTGATAATCGATTAAGACAAAGATTGCTTCTCAAATGTTATGATTTCCTTCTTTTATCTTTAGTCCATCATGTTATCTGAAAATGTTTGTTTTGCCCTGACAAAATAATACTTTAAAAGTCTCCTTGGTCTTTGAGAAATCTGTAATGGACCTTTTTTTCCACTATTTTCTGATATTTATAGACCAAAGGTTATTTGAGAAAATAATCAACAAATTAACCAACAATGAAAATAATACTTAGTTGCAGCCCTTCCCTCAGATATGCTGCACTTTGACCACTGGGGAAGAACCTTTCGTTCATTTTATTGTAATAATTATCCTTTTTAGTCCACGAGAAGACTCTTGGAGTTCAAAATCCACGGTCATCTTCAGAGTTCTAGGGTCAGCAGGAAGGATGTGTTTTAACAGAGGGGCTTGAACTCAGGTCCTCCGGTCAAAGAGCAGTCTTAATACTCTCTACCCTACACCTCCATTTTTCTCCTTTCAAACCTGAGCCCTGTTTTTGATTAGCAACATTGGTTCATAGGAAGTGGTCATAACCCTGATGGCCTGCCTATGAGCGGCGTCCGGTGTTAAGCAAGTATTTGAAAGTAGGAATGGGTGGGAAGATAGAGAGGAGCGTGGCGAGGTGTCAAGGCCTGAAGCCTCGGCTCTGACCCTCTCACTCCCTCCCCGACCCTCACCACTCCTCTTCCCCCCGACCCTTGAACCCCCGACCCCGAGGAGCAGCGACCTCCGAGCGGCGTGTCACTGAACATTCGCTGGGCCCAGCAGGAACGGGGTCTGGAGCTGCTCAAAGTGAGGAGGGGGGGGCACTTCTGGAGGACGGAGTGAGCGGAGAAGCAATGAAAGATGTTTATGTGAGCAGCGGATGTTTGGATTGAGTAAGAGAGGGAGATAGGGCCTTCTGCTCAGTATTACTGTTGGGGTTAATAGAGCATCTTAAATCTGCTACCCATTCTGCTCAGCGAGGGGACAGTGGTGCTTCAGAGCGGTGTCACGCTCGAGTGGACAAGTGTTCCTTTGCGTAACTGTTCTGTAAGTGGGCCATCACACTGATAAAGAACATGAGGAGGCCCAGAGAGCTTGGAGGGACAAGTTATTAATGAACTATCAAACGTTTAAATATGTTCACTTTAATCCCATCAAGGCACATTCATTCTTCATGGACCAAATGTAAACCTATGTGGAAGATTCACAACATGTTTACATCTATTAAAACCCATTTCCCTGTATGGTAAAACTCACACTGCGGATTTTCTTAATTAAAAAGTTGATATCAAACATGTTTCAATTAGATAACTTAGCAGTTGAGAGAAGGGGGACGACACAGTGGTTAGGGCATTACTGTGCAGGGAAATGGGGCTAATAAATAAAATATGAATCCGCAGGATAGTTTGAAAAAAAAGGGAAAGTTAAAATATGAATATATTTGATGGAGATTACTGGTTGTGATAGCTAAGGAGCCTCTGGGCTTTATGTTTATTCCCAGCTCTCCTATTTCCTCTGACTTCCTTTTCAGGTAGTGCCTGTGCTTGAGCTAGATGCTATAGTGATACATAAATGTTTGGAAAGTTCACTTACTGTACATCTACCTAAACACATGAGATTATTTGAATGTTGATGCTGTCCTGATTTTACCTTGCACTGCAGCTGGATACTGCCAATATCACAAGATCACAAGAAAATCTGTCTTGTCAGGCTTTAAGTGACACATTAGTGTCTTGTGAGGAAATACTGTGTGTGGTGTAGGTTTGTGCAACTTCACGAAGATGTGGCTGTTAAAGGGGCCCATTATGCTTGTTGGAGTTGTCCCTTTCCTGTCGTGTGTTATATGGCACATCAATTTGACTCCTTTGTTTACTTCTGTAACATAATTACATCATTATGTAACACTCACACTCTTGTTGGTGAGCACTCCAACATATTGTTTGTGATAGGCTAAGGGGCAGGACAATTCTAAGTAGTTGACCAATCACAACAGAGCCGGCCAGCTAACCAATCAGAGCAGACTGGGCTCCTGTTTCAGACAGAGGGTGAAAAGAGATGATGCAGCACAGGCAATAAGGGGAAAATAAAGATCTGTTTGAACATTAAAGCATGGAAACATGTCACAGTAGAGGCACAAAATACACTTTTTACATAGAAAATGCATTGATTTTCGCGCTATTGATCTCGCACGTAAACATAAACATGACGTTTTACTATAGAGTCCACAGATTATATTGGTATAAGTTTCATCACTGTGCGATCATAACTCACTGTTAACCCTGTGTTCTAGTATGATAACTAAAATAACATTGTACCTTGAAAATCAATGCATTCTAATAGCGGGTACATTTTACACGTTGGCGGTTTTAGGTTTACAGCGACCCCTGGCAGTTCTAGTGTTAAAACAACAGCAATGCCTCGAAAGGAAGTACATGCTGCACCAGCATCAGTTATAAATTACAACTGGAGTATTACTTTATCAAAATAAGAGCATTGAATGGAATTAAGGGTGTTTTTTCCGCCGCTCCTCTCCCAACTAGTTTTGAAAGTTTGATTTACTAACTGGCACTGTTGATCTGATTGGTTAAAGGTGGCCCTTGATAGATGGTGATCGTTTCTACTGATGGCTTCTCAGATGTATTTCTGTAAAAAAAATTGCCTTTCAACTCGTGTTTTCTATGATCAATGAAAACATTTTAACTGATTACAGCAGCAAAAGTTGGTTTTCTGATCACATCCAGCCCATAAATAGCCAAGATTGCTTTGTAAACTGGGGATTCTTTTAACATCTGGCAAAAGAGAAAGACCTTTTGTTTGCAGCATTACATCACAGTTTTGCAGCTTTTTCAGTTTTTGTCCAGTTATCCCAGTTTATTAGGTGATCAGGTGGGATTAAGCAGTACTTAGGCAAATATTTTAGGAATTATGCCGAAATATTGGCGCTTGCATCGCTCGTACCACCTGGTTGGTCAGCTGCGAGCCACATGGGTATTGTCATGGGGAGCAGTAGTGGCGAGTGGGAGGCCCCTGAGCTCTATTAATACCAAATCTTACTCGCTCCTGTTCGACTGATGTGTCGCCATGGGCCTGGCGAGGGTCCGATCCACTGCCTGGCCTGAAGTTTATTCTCATCTGCTTCCTCTTAGCAAGGCCAGATTCAGGATTGCGCCAGAATAGCAAACGGATTGAACGAAATATGGGGTTTTACTCTTCAGAAGGCACGGTATGAATGCAAAATAGTAGGCATTTTGCAATTGGTGTATAAGCAGAATGCTTAGAGGAGGCTTCGCTAATAGCTAAGGAGAGAGATAAAAGCTTTATAAGAGGGCACTAAGAATGACAGAAGTTCTGACAGAAAATGAAAGACTCCTCAATTCTGACTGGAGTGGGAGATGATTAGAGCTCACAGTGGGACCCATTTACATTCACAAACAAATTGCAGTATATCTTTTTCATGTTATATTAGCTGTAGTTAATGCTCCCTGCTGTGCCACCTCTTGCATGTCCTCCTGGCGCCAGCCGTGGGCAGCTTGGCTCAACCTCTCACTCCTGGAGGCAGCGGCTTTAGAGTCGGACTGAGGGGGCATCATATTTTCTTCTCAACCCATTTTTCCGTCTGACTCTCCAGAGGTCCATTGTTAGCTGCTGAACACGCGCACTTCTTATATTAGCAGCGTTTTCACTGGTCTGATGGGACCTGGCAGTGCACGACACAGGACCTAATGAAACACTGAGTCTGGCAGACCAGCGGGGAGCAAGGCTCCGTAAACAAGGGCCAACTAACTCAGCGTGGCTCCAGGTTTAGGGCGTAGCGGAATTAGGGCCTTAAGGGGAAGAAAAATGCTCCTGCTCCTCCAACAGTTTCTTGGAATAATAGTGTATCCTTGCCAAATCATTCAAGAGGTTAACTAATAAGAATGAGGAGGACAATAAAGACAGTGTTGTGGTGTGACTCTGCTCTGCTCTTCTTTACATTCTCATGTTTGTGATTCAGGAGACCCCCGGGTGCTGAAGGACGTGGGCAGAGCTCTGGTGCTTTACAGACGGGCCGTCATGCCGTACGCCGCCTACTCCCGTAAACGTAAAGGCTCCAGCGACGAGGCGGAGGTGCAGCAGTACGGCGGCTTGGTCGGCCAGGACTGCATCGAGAGGATCTTACTCTACCGCACCTAAAACACACCACTGTCACACCACTGCACCTTTCAATCTCACGTGAATACACACCTTCCAGCAAGCTGTGTGTCTCTCGTACGTCTGTGTGTCTCCTCGCTGTCTGTCAAAGTGCTTTCTGCTTCCAGTAGTCTCACCGCGCTTAGCAGGTGTAATGCAGTGGCCAATAATTATCTATGTATGTAGCCATTCACCCATTGGCCTCATTCACATTTATTTCAAAAAATAAATATATATTCATCAATGTATCCTGCATTATCCATTCTTAGTTCTTCTTCTTCCTTCTGTTTGATTTGACTCCCAACAGGGACCTGTACCTTGGATGTTATTTAGATTATTATTTTCTATTCTCAGCCCTTAAGCAGTGATGTTCCTGATGATGTCATATGCAGGTGACAGCTCTCCTCCGAGCGGACTCAGGTTCAGCCATATGTCAGCGTTATCACTTGAGGAGCATTTTTTCTTTTGAATGTTCAGTGATCTTTGAAGGTGGTTTTTACTTTGCTTACATTACATCCTCAATCTTCTCTACACAGCACCACTCAATAATTGTTTATCATTGGAACATTTTTTAAAGTTGTATTTGCTTTTCTTTTAATATTGACAGTATTTTTTTGTTTAACCGAATAAAAGGGTTGTCTATTCCATGCTTGGACTATGTGGCTTTTCTTTGAATTCTAATTTTGGAACATAACACTGAATTCACCAGTGGAATTATCTTTGGAACAGTATTGCATTGGGGATAATTTTTTGGGGAAGGCGGTATTCCCAACATTTCTGCTGAGAAATTTTGCACAAACATCAACAAGTACTGAATATAATTAGGATGTCAATGGTCAAGGTCACATCAAAAAACTAGTTTTTGGTCATTTAGCTCAGTAATAGATATGCATACTATGACACTTTGGACAGACATTTATGTAGACTGCAACTTCACTATTTTGCGGAGGCTTACAACCATGACGTGGTAATTCTAGTGACACATACAGTAGTAAGCTTATGTCTCCCAAAAACACATGCACACCCAGACATGAGTGCTTGAGTTGAGACTTGTGAATCGGGCCAACCAACAGGTGTCAGATATACGCGCTGCAGAACACAAACGCTGATGCCCTCTAACAGTGTCAACCACAGGGCTGATCTGGTGCCAGCAGAAAGGCTTACTTAACTTACCTATTCAACAGATTTAACAGGCTAGTAATATAGTATGACATTGTATACATAAACCTACATTTCTGTTTTGTTTAACAATTGTTGATGCACTTCCTTTGTATTTTAACGGGAACTTCAAAGAGCCCATATTATGCTTTTTGTTTGTTTTCCCTTTCCTGTTATATAGGTTTTTGTGCAGGCAAGAGAAAAACTCCTGCAACTTTTAAACCTTGCCTTCATAGTAATATTATGTTTTTTTGGTATTAAAAGTAAACGAGTTTACTTTATCTGTGGTGGTTACAGTGCAATAGAAACTGCTAGGACAGTAGTTGCTGTATTTCTTATTAGTCATTGTAGTGACATAACGTTTTTTTTATAATACAAAAGATGTTTCTTAGTGTTGGTTGTGCTCCATCTTTGTACATGGACAGTGGAGGCAGGATATAAAGTTGTGTTATAAGGCCATCAACATACTCTGGTTTTGTATGTGTTCTCTAAGCCAGGCCGGTTAGTAACTTATCTGGATGCTCACCTCGAAACACCCACTCATAGAACTAACGGAATGAGAAGTGTAACAGCAGACTTTTAAATGTCAGCGTGACCCTTCCTGGACTTGTATTTGTGCAGCGGCTCTGACCTGCCACCCATTCTGCCAGGTCTGCCTGTCTGCACCCGATCTTGTGAAAACAGTTGAGAGAGTCAGTCTATCCAGTTTAAACTCAACCTGGGCTTTAAGAGCAGCCAGTGTCTTCAGGAATTAGGACAGATTGACAGGCTAATTCTCCGAGAAGGGAACACTGATGCTGGCTAGCGGCCATGTTGGATTTACTGTTTCTCTCCCACATTAGGCATGCTTCTCCTCGGACTTAATGTGCACTCACTCACACACACACACACACACACACACACACACACACACACACACACACACACACACACACACACACACACACTCTCTCACTCCTGGCACTGTCAAGGGTAGTTAGTCTTGGTTGACGCAGCAAATAAGGACTTGTGCCAGTGCTGTGGTGGACCTCTTTCTGTCAAAACAAGTGGCCTGGACCGGCCGGTCTGTTTTATAATGAGTCCACAATGCTGCGAGACTCAGCATGGCAGCATTTAGACATTACGCTGATATATAATTTTGTCAGTGCTCATAATTCTTATTAAGTATGAGGTCTATACTGACCATGCACCGCTGCTGAAATACCGTTCAGCCAAAGGTCAGCTTTCAGAGAATAAAGGGGCCTGCAGAGAGGGCTTTATTTTCATGTCCGACCTGAGTCACAGAGATGGTTTAAACACTTGATGGTTTATTTTAGGCTGTGTTGGTGCCAGATGGGTGGGGGTTTGTCACATTGGAAAATAAAGGGACTGCCAAAAAGCTGGGAAAGGAGAGTATGACACTGTAGTAAGATAACCTTAAAGGTGGGGTAGGTAAGTTTGAGAAACCGGCTCGAGATACACTTTTTGTTATATTCCATGGAATGCTCTTAACATCCCGATAGCAATGAATATCTTAAGTGCTTTGACAAAAAATCCATTAAAAAATGTCAGCTGTGGAAGCCGTAGTACTGTAAAAACCTACCTGCCTGCCTGTCAGCTTTTCATCTGTGCACAAACTTATCTCGTGCCCTCCATGGTCATGTGCACATTTGTGTGTGTTGGAGGAGGGGCTCTGTAAGGAAGTGGCAGATTTGTTCCGGCCGATTTTAAGTATGCACTGTAAACAAGTTAGACATGTCTTTAGATTTTTTTAAATGTGACCAATGTATAGGAGTTGCAATTGCAGTTTCGTTGATACACTTTAGATGTTGAAAATGTCAGTAAAGGTCAACGAAGTGTCAGTTTAAGAAAGCAAACAATTATCGGTAACACTTTATATTAAGGTACACAAATTAACCATCAACTAGTTGTTAATTAACATGCATATTAGCAGTAAATTGGCTCTTTATTAGTCATTATAAAACACTTATTAATGCCTTATTCTACATGACCATATTCTACAAGTAATAAGCCATTAGTTGAGAGTTTTTGCTCAATAACCCTCCAGTTAGTGCTTATTTATGCAAGTAAGGAAGTTATTGTACATGAGTTTGGGTCTTAATATGCTCTGCTCAATATGGGCCTAATAAGGCAGTAGTACCACAAGAATAGTAATTCTCCCATAATAACACTTAACAAATGATCTATTCTTATGTAACAAGACATGAAACTATAAGTGTTAATTGTTTCTAAATAAGTCAAAATTAGGTATTTCTATCTAAGAATAGGTTCCCTATTTTAAAGTGAAGTCTTGTTCATAACCAATAAGCTAGTAGTTTGACTCTAATTATGTATTTCTATCTAAGAATATGTTCCCTATTTTAAAGTGAAGTCTTGTTCATAACCAATAAGCTATTTGACTCTAATTGACCTGAACAGGTTCCCTATTCTAAAGTTGCCTCCTCTTCACACTTTGTAAATACATTATAGCACACAACTACTGAAATGAACCTCAACAGTACATGAAGTAGGCACACGTTCATATATCTGTTTTATTAATGAACAACTCAAGAGAGGTTCAGACACATACCAAAACATGTCAAGTTTCTCCAAGGCTGAGAACACATGCAGCCTGTACTTTTTAATAAAAACAGATTTTGAACAGATTTTATGTATTTGTGATCATACTGTGTGACCTGCTTGTATGTACTTACACACTAGGTGTACCGTTCTCTCTGTGTTGTACTGTTTCAGTGTGAACATAGATTAAACAGCCAGCCAAACTATTTTGAGAGCCACGGAATGAGCAGCCATGCTCCTTTATTGACTTATTTGCAGTCCACTGATATTCAAACGGAGTGAAACTATAAAAAAAAGAAGTTACAAGGCACTTAATCATCTCATACATGCAACTGTGTAACATACACAGATTGTCACATACAGTAGGACTGCAATAGCGTGAATGCTAACGGATTTTCTCATTGTGTTTAAACATCTCCAAATGTCATCACATAAACACAATACATGTTACTAATCCTTACAGTGTAAGTGTAAGGCTCACACTTACACTTACAGCCATTGCTTTCTGACGGAATTGACCCTTTTACTCTTCAGGTTGCATAGGGGAAATTAGTGGTAGTCTACTCATGGATGTCTACTGCCATTCTATTCAGTTCATCTTCTCCTACGGCACCCGGTTTCCTGTCTAACCTTCAGTAGCCTACACATTTTACAAAAATATAAATGTGCAAATATGAAATATACAGGTCAATATCACCTTGCTATTGGTAGCTGAACTGTCAATACCCCAAAACATATTCTTAGAAATAAATATCTAATTTTGAGTTATTTAGACACAATTAACCCTTATAGTTGAATGTCTTGTTACAAGAATAGATCATATTTGTTAAGTGTTATTATGGGAGAATTACTATTCTTGTGGTACTACTGCCTTATTAGGCCCATGAATGTAAGGGGGAAGGGAAGGTCAATCGGTTGTGATTCAACTCTTCCTTGTTTGGTTGAAAGAGACACACCTGATGGAGACATGCACTTTTCTAGTTTAAAGAGTGAAGCAAGAAACAACTGAAACACAACTTTAAATGAAAGGTTAAATGTTAGTTACTGTGGTAGTGCAGGATTAAATTAATAAAGTTTGTGCACTGTTTATGTTTGAAGTAATTGTACCGCCATCCTTTCTCCCGCAAAACTTTCCCTAATCCCTCTTCTATCTGCCGTGGTTTTCTCACACATGTACTGTGGCCAGGAGACTCTCAGAGCAAAGAGGATGTGTCAGCGTGAAATACTATGGGAAGGATATGCAGGTCTGTTAATGAGGAAAAAGAGACGCCATTCCTGACGTATTTCCCTTTTTCCAAACCTCAAATCCAAACTTTCATGTGTAATCATGTCAGAGAAATATGGAATAATTTCCCTCAACTGTTTGTGTAAATGTCTCTAAATACGTGCCTTTTATTATTTTGCTTTTGTGGTAAATAACAGGGAAAAGTGTGTTTAGGAAAAGGAACATTTTAGCAGATTTGATCTTGTTTGAAATATCCATTTTCCCTTACAGCAACACAAATGTTTGTTGAAGTAAATGTGTCATCCACCAGCGTCGCCTGATCACATCCGCTGTACAGTACGTGAGTACATGACGTTGTCTTCCTGTTTGTACATTTATAAAACTATCTGTAGAAAGTGAGCTGGTCCCTCTCTATTTCAGTCCTTCAGTTAATCTTTCTGCAGTGCACGCAAGCTTTGTTTCATCGTACCCGGGGGCAGAATGTAAACATGGCCTCTGCCCACGGTGTTATATGTGTGTGTGTGTGTGTGTGTGTGTGTGTGTGTGTGTGTGTGTGTGTGTGTGTGTGTGTGTGTGTGTGTGTGTGTGTGTGTTTACTCTTGTTGAGCGTGGGCTGCTTGTTTGGGTTGGCTCCCCGGACAGTGTGAATTTACAAGTTTGTTTTTTTATTCGCCCATGCTCACAACTCTGTCCATGATTTTGGCCTG